TGCCGGCGCGGGCGGAGCGGACATGGCCACCATGGAGAAGCTGATGAAGGCCTTCGAGTCGTTGCGCTCCTTCCAGCAGCAGCAGGGTCCGGCCGCCATCCCCGAGGAGCCGCTCCAGAGACCGTAAGTGACCCGCACCCGCGGGCTGCGAGGGCTCCCGAAACGCTTCGGCGACATCTCCCCTGCACCGGAGGGAGACCGCCCCGCCAGACCGCTGCCCTTCGGGAGCTGCTGACAGCCCGAGAGGCAGCTACCAGTCCCCGGAGAAGTTAGTCTCGGGGTGCTTCCCTGTCCTTGGCGGAAGCCTGTTCCTGTGGACGTGTCTGGGAGTGCCGCCTGCTCTCCGTTTAAGTTTTAGCTGGGAGTAACTTTCTGGGCAAAGATCGTTTGGAAATACAGTCGCATGGGTAATGAACGGGAGGTATAAGAACGCTGTATGGGTTTCACAGGGTGGTTCTAGGAAGGAAGACCTTGTTTTCAGCTAAAACACTGCTGGAAATAAGGCAAAAGAGCCTAAGCATAACTTAAAGCACTAAGCCTAATAGTTAAATCTAAGCTCTGGTGCATCCGGAGGGAGTTGATGCGGATGTCTGTTCGTGACAAACTTCACTTAAAGTCTTGTGCTGCAGCTTGCTAACTAGGAGGAGTTAAAGTTTTCCTGGTACCCTTTTGCTCCCTTAAACGTTAGGGGCAACAGCATTACATCTATGCGATGTTCAGGTTTCCTGTCGGGAGGCGTTACTAGAGGGTGAGGAGCTGTTCAGCGCCAGACTGCTGCCTCTTACATTTGCACCCTTTAAAAATAACTTTTATTGAACAGGTGAAAAGACACTAAGGTTTTTATAGGATAAACACATGAGTCACACTCTTGCTTTTTCTCTAGCTACTGAGGAGACAGGAGAAGCAGAAGGGTTGAGAAGCAGGTAACTTCTCCATTAGCAGTTTCATAGTGTTTTGGCAGAGGATGCTAAGCAGTGGAGCTGGCCTCTTGGCCACCTGCTCCAACAGTATATTCTGCTATGGGTGCCAACGAAATTGTGGTTGATACTGTTTGGAAAGGGTTGTCCCAAACATTTTCAATGCATTTTCACACTTTTGGGGCATAATAGATGAAAAACACTCACCTTCTTCATGAGCTAATTGGTTTTAGATGTTTTACCGATCTGCAGGGACTGATTGCTTTGTTGTGTGCATTTTTTGTGCTAGTACTTTGTGTGACATGGAGGATAGATGACCATCTATTTCCAGTATCCATGTGTGTAGTTGGAAAAAAATCTGTCTAGAAATTTACCGATGAGGTAAATCATGATATTTTGAGAGAAAGTCCTGAAAATTATTTGTGATGCTTGCTTGTGTGTGTTATGCTTGGTTTGGGAGTTGGAATTTAGGCATACTCTACTCGAAACGTTAAAAAATTAGGGTTGTAGTTGTCCTTGTTGACTTTGTTTTGTGTTTGAAAACGGGCTGTATGTTTTCACAAAGCTGATGGGTTGCGTATCCCCAGGAGCTACACAAATTCAGTAGCAGCACTAAACCTCATAAAAGTCTATGAAGGGGTATAGTGACAGTCTTTGCTGAAGTTACCCAGACTTTTAGTGAAATACCAGGTGACATCCTGAATGTAATTCACAATCCTGTCTGCATGTTCGTGGACTTTTTTCACTTGTCACTGGCTGGAAAGGAAAACTGCCTCTGTGTTTTCCTTGCGTTTGGGGAGAGGTGTTGGTCTTTGTTGTGGTTCTGTACAAATAGCACTTAGATAACTTCCTACTGTTCTGTCTGTTTACTGTTATAAAAAGATGCAAGTTTACCTCTCAGTAACGACAGAATAAATTAATTGGTGAATGTCATAGAATAAAACACTACTGCCTTGCTCTTTATTTGTTTCATTAGATCACAGTTGTCCTGTTGCCTAATTTAGACTAATACAAAGCTGTCGTTCTTTGAGTTATAAAGTAATCTCGTTATTACAGGTGGTGTTAGACGTTTTTTGTTGGACTTTTTAGCTACAGTAAAAGTAAAACTACCTACTTCTACTTTTTTTTACTCCCCAAATAAACTACCTTAATTTACAACAACACGTTACCTCTATGTGATTAAAAATATAATTAAAAAAAAAAAATTTCCTGTTGGAGTGGGCAAAAAATGGCCTTTTAAATATTTTTGGTAGAAACTGAGCATTTTACGTGTGGTTAGTGAATGAATCCTACTAAGGACTGGCTGTCTCCTGCTATGAAATGTTTTAAGATCACAGAGATTGATGTAGAAAAGACTTAATTGTTTGCGTAACATGTGTTGAAGTTTTTCTTCACTTTATTGTAAGGCAATCACTTCTGAACTCTTGATAAAACTGATATCCTGGCTTTACTTTTTAAATTGAAATATTAATTGAATTCAAGCCTTTACCAAGAAGATAAGAACTTTTTCTGTTTTGAGAGGTTTTATTTGACAGTAATCATGTGTTATGCTTTTATTATGCATTACAGTCAGATGTCAGTTTCTGACCCCCCCCCCCCCGTAATATCTCGTGTTGGTTTTTTTTCTTCTATGAAAACTTAACGTGAGCTCGCTCTCTGTCATCATATTGCATCTATACGCTTCTGCTGAGGCACCTCGTTTTCTTCCATACTTGTTTTTAGCTTCTTCAGACCCTTAAATTTTGATTGGAGTTGGATGTTTTGTTTTGAATTACTAAGCTCCCACTAACTTAAAATTTGATTAATATGATGTAAAAATTCAGTTTTCTCAGTGAAACTGAAAAGCTGATGGGCTGTCGCAAAACATCCTATATTTTGTTTTATCCATTTCTACCTCTTATCAGTGAGCTAAGAGAATGACTTGCTAATGTTTCTTCTGGAAAAGTATTTAGCTTTGATTTGGTTAAGCCAAAGGTGGATTCTTCACCTTTTCTCTTCTTAACTTGTTCTAATAGTTAATTATTGTAATTGATTTTAATTATGCCCTATTTCAATTTTTTTTCTTATGTTTGATTCTAACTGTTACCCTTACAGCAAAAGGTGCTGCAAGAGCCAGAGTGCTCTCCAGCAATATGCATTTTTCTCTACTCCTGTTTTTTTGTGTTTTTTTATGTTTGATTGAAACTGTGGTCGTAGATTGGTTTCATCAGTGCTATATGTAGAGATATCCTGAATTTTGTAGTTAACCGAGGGCCATGTGAACTGCATAGACAATACCTATTGCCCTCCTTGTCAGTGGTGGTTCCTAGATGGTTTTTTTTAAGTTACTGTTTCTAGAGTGTGTTGTAGACCTGTTCTAGTTAATTTAACTAGTCATCGTTGTTGATGTTACTACACAGTTGTTGAAGCGTCCACCATATTTGGGCTTAGTTTATTTCTTGACCCACTCGTGTTTCTGTTTGTTATTAATAGAATCTTTTTGGAGTTTCCCATTAATTTTCTCAAGACTAACGTCAAGCTGTTTGGCTTGGCCCTTTTTCTTAATGCTGATTCAGCTTTAGAGCTTCTGTGCTCCTTTTGCATCTCCTTAATTCCAAGGCCTAATAAAAATTAGCACCAGTGAGCTGCATCTCTTTGTAGCCACCTCATCAGGACTCAGAGTGCAAAATTGTTGGGCTTGCTGATTTTCTTGTGTTGTTTTTTAATCTCCTTGGCTAGAGATTGTATGTAGAAGCATGCAGAAGATTAAACTCTGCCTGTGAGATGAAGCTTTCCTGTCGATGAATGCTCCTTCCAATATCTCCTGCCTTCTGTTACTCATCAAACTGAAATGACCTTACACTTGGGGCTTGCTGCTTGACCTCTCTTCTAAGAAATATGTGATGGTGGTGTTGTTCTGCTGGGTATGATCATCAGCAGTTTGCCTCAAGACTTCATAATATTTCTGAATAGAGCTGTTTTGTTTGTTGTGTTTTTTGGTTTTTTTTTAATAAATCATGTGTTCAATCTCCAGATACTCTTATCTTTCTCCCTCTGTAGGCACAGAAAATGTGTGCGTGCGCTCTGTCTTCCACCTTTTCTTTCATTCCTTCAGAGGCTGATTTTCTGGAAGTTAAATAACCAAATGGTAGATGGAAGGTTCAGTACAGCAAACTCAGTTGAATGTTTGTTCTTCTTTCCCTTTGGATAGTAACTGGTAGTTAGTTTTCTCCTCTAGTTTCTGTTACTTCAGTTTAAATGATTTGTTGACTCTATGCTTTCCTTCTAAGTTTTCATCTTATATTTTCTCTATTCAAGCCTTTTAATATTTTTGAAGTTATTTATTTCAGTGAGGGGGTAGATTCAGTGTTAGGTGAGCTCTCTGTTTACAGAAATCTGCTGAAGAGATTGATGTGTGCTCATCTGAGTAGTACTGAACAGTACTGCCTGCCTTGCTCAGGGCTATATCAAGTGTAGATAATAAAGAACTTTGTTCTGAAAGCGCTCTTATTCAGCAGTATCTTTAGTGTGCTTTGTGTCTGAAATAGTGAGCTTGTGGGCAAGTTCAGATGTGCCTGTTCTATGCTTGGGATGAACGTGTACTGAAAGTGGGGCTCATTGAGGTGCGGGCAATGCTAGATAAGGTGATCATAAAACTTGAAATGATTTATTCGTTTTCCTAGGTGCCTGTTCACATCAACGGTACTGAAGTTATAAAGTCAGTTGGATGTTTTAGGAAATATTTGCGTTTTTTTTTAGGTGGTCTGAAAGTGCTGTTAAAGACTTCGTGGTGCTTTTGCAAGATAGAGAAAGACATTGATATCTTTTTTAAATTCAGGTTGGCTATTCGTATTCTGTCAGTTGCTTAAGAATAAGTCAAAGAAGAGATCCTCTTTGAGGAATGCTGAAGCTTACCTAAACAAAAGACTGCCAAATTATAGTGGGGGAAAAAAAAATGGTTTCTTAAGAACTATTCCTTAAACTTTAAAAAGGGGAAGTGTTTCTGGAGTGAGATGAGAAGATCCTTGGGAGAAAAACTGAAATCTTAGGAGCAAACACTTCAACCCCCTACTTCTAACCTGATGGAAGAAAAAGAACAGGGGTACTTGCAAAGAGTCACTTTGTTCAAAAACTATACTATTATGTGAGCTAAAGCTCTTAAATATTGCAGCTTAATTCTTCCAAATTTTTGTCTAAAAATCTGTTTTGAGTTAGCATAATTCAGTGTGCTGATTGACTACTTGCTGTTGGTCCTTAAGGTTGTGTTAGCTGTATTAATGTAACTCAAGGCTTCCACATCGTTTTTGGACTTGTAGTTCACAAACACTGTTTTGCTGTTTGATGGTTTTGCTATTTGTTGTGAAGACAGAAAATTAAATGCTAAAAATACAGGCCATCAATTTTCCCTTGGAAAACAAAAGGTAAGATTCTCTGTGAATGTGAGTAAATAAGCAGGTGCCTCCTTGTTAAGAGCCACCTTTGGGTGTGCAGTTTAGGTCCAGTGTTGCTACTGGTTAATTATTTAAAAGCAACATCTGCTTTCCTGGAGTGATTCTGTGTCAGTGAAGTTAAGAGTAGGAGACACTGCATATGATGAAATAAAATTTCAGCCGTATTTGTGATTCTCTCTCTCTCTCTCTTTTCATTTCCTTTGTTGGAAGGGTTGGACGTGGGGCAGGGAAAAAGCTTCTGTTCTAGACTCAGCTGTAAAGAGTTGTAGGAGCTTATATCGTGATGAAGCAACTGTTGGACAAATTTTGCTAAGTAGAAGCTTTTCATATTGTGCTCTGCATCGCTTGTAGATACACATCGTTTGATTCTGTGAATTTTATTCTTTGTTTTACACTCGTTTGCTGTGAGTTGACTAAGCTTGGCCTTTCCTGGACTATACCAATGGTTACTATAGGGACATTATTCTTGATGGGTGTAGACGGTGCCTAGAGCTTTGCTATTATAATTACAAAGCCATTTGAGGGAACGTGGAATATGATAGGATTACCTTGGCATCCTTTCCAGTTTAGATACAAAATGGTCAATTTAATAGACCTTTAAGTTTCAAGAACTTGCCAAACAAGATAAAAAAGTCTAAGGTGTTGTTATGTGTGAGGAATGTCTTTTAAAAAGTGATATTTTTCAGGCCTGCAAGACTTGTTCTCATGGCTTGTTTTCCCCAACCTTTTTCTATCAGTCTGTTTGTTTCAGCTTTATTCTAGATCTACTCCACTTTTTCCTTCCTTTCCCTTTACTCCTTTTCATTCTTCAGTTTTGTTTTCCAGATACTTTCTTAGCGAAAGTTATGGAACTAATATGATATTTCCTATTAAATGGTTCCTTCTTTTTTCTAAGTTTAAATCCTTCCCTTTGCTCGTGTGCCTGCATGTTCTCAGCAGCTGTTAGTATATGAAGTCCTGGGACTACAGGTAGATGGTATACAGCTGTCATATAATGACCAGAAGAGTGTGTCTTTTTCTTGTATAATTATTAGACACTACTCTAGCAGAGTGTTTAAATGGTCACTGTGTAATTTTGAAGTCTTTTCTCAGACACATTATCATTGTGTTCTTCTTCTAGAAAGAAAGAACTTTCAGCTACCAAGAAAGATCGAGTGAATCATTGCCTAACAATATGTGAAAACATAGTTGCTCAGTCTTTAAGGTAAGGCCATGTCTTTGTTTTATTGCATTGATATGAATAGCTACTTTGAAGTGTTAGTTATTTGGAGGGTAATTGCTGATTTTAAATGCTCAAGTTCTGTTTAAAGTTGAAATAGCACAATATTTATTTCTTTTTACCAACCCAGAATCGAAGAAATAATTTTCTTTAAACAGTGGTAGAGTAGGCATTATCCTTCTACCTCAGACAAACTGAGGCACAGAGGTCAAATACCTTGCCAGATTATGTAGGAAAGAGCAGAGAAATGATCTCCCAGCTCCTAATGAAGTGCTTTAATACACTGAATGTCTTCTCCTCTTGTATAACTGTGTATAGTGTATGTGTAGCTGGATTCTGAAACACTTCAAAAATAGCATTGGTGTTTGCTTTTCATGGCATGTGTTGTAATTTTCTGATGTTTGTTTATTTAGAAATTCTCCAGAATTTCAGAAACTGCTGGGTATTGCTATGGAACTCTTTCTCCTCTGCAGTGAGGATGCAGAATCTGATGTCCGGATGGTTGCTGATGAATGCCTTAATAAAGTTATTAAAGTAAGAACTTTTATATACACTACTACCAGATTTTACCTCTTAACACCAGTGTCCTATATGAATTTACACTGACGTTTTCAGTTGCTTTTCGTATTGTTGATATCTCGTAATGTAAGGGGTTAAGTAAGCTTCTTTACTGAATTCTGTATTTGCTCTTAGGTGAGCTTTTTATGCCCAGATCAAGGTATTTAACTTGTCTTCTGTTGTTCATCATTCTAATATATTCTTTTCTTCAGTTGTTCGTTAACTTTATTCTCTTCAAGTTAACCAAAACAAGAACGTCGGCTTTTCTAAAATCTTGTATGGGAGGAATACTCTATTATTCTTCTCTACTATAAAGATACTTAACATGAGGAAAGGTAAAAATATTATTAAAAAACTGTCTGAAAGATGTAGTGACTTTTCATTCCAGATTAGTAGTATAGTGTAATTCAGGTAGTGTGATTTGCCGAGAGTTGGAGGAGGAGCTTTTAGGCAAGAATTAGGAAAATATGGTGTTCTGGAGATTGTTTATTACCCTACAGTGATCCAGAATGAAAGACTTGTTGGAGAAGAGCAGATGGGCATTCATATGAGGTCAGGCAACGTCTAAATCTTGATTCAAAGTATCTTAAAATGAAGCTCTTGAATAAGTGATGTGAACTGCTACTTCCAGGACAGATTTACCTTCACCTGCCTTTTTTTTTTCCTTTCCTGTTTTCTCAAATCATAGAATGGTTTGGGTTGGAAGGGACCTCAAAAGACCATCTAGTTCCAATCCCCCTGCCATGGGCAGGGACACCTTCTACTAGATCAGGTTGCTCAAAGCCTCATCCAACCTGGCCTTGAATGCTTCTAGGGATGGAGCATCCACAACTTCTCTGGGCAACCTGTTCCAGTGCCTCACCACCCTCAGAGTGAAGAAGTTCTTCCTTAGGTCTGATCTAAATCTACCGTCTTTTCAGTCTAAACCCATTACTCCTTGTCCTGTCACTACACACCCTTGCAAAAAGTCCTTCTACAGCTTTCTTGAAGGCCCCCTTTAGGTACTGGAAGGCTGCTAGAAGGTCTCCCTGGAGCCTTTTCTCCAGGCTGAACACGCCCAACTCTCTCAGCCTGTCTTCATAGCAGAGGTGCTCCAGCTCACGGATCATCTTCGTGACCTTCCTCTGGACTCGCTCCAGCAGCTCCATGTCCTCCTTGTGTTGGGGGCCCCAGAGCTGGACACAGTACTGTAGGTGGGGTCTCACAAGAGCAAAGTAGAAGGGCAGAATCTCCTCCCTCGACCTGCTGCCCACACTTGTTTGGATACAGCTCAGGATATGGTTGGCTTTCTGGGCTACTTGACCTTTTAGTCCGTCTAATGTACCTGCACAATTAATCTAGTTGATGCAAAGTTTAAGTGCTTTAGAAATACACAAGTAATAATTTTCTTTAGCATGAAGGGGTATGTAGAAGCAAGTAAATAAAACATCCCTATTTCTGTAGAGATTTCTCTTCATTAAGTTCTAGTTGTTTGATATCTGAATGAATTAAGATTTGGGGGCTTGAGTTTGTGGCTGAAAGTAGTATCGAGAAAGTTCACTGGTTTTGTAGTGTCCCCTATAATGACAGGGAATGAGGAAGTGCAAATGCCTTTTGCTTCTTTGGTTTTGCCCTGTAGCACTTTACTCTATGCATTCCGATTTAAATGTTTTTCCATTTGCAGGAGTTTAGCACTCTATGAAATACATACACAATTATGTAACTTAATTTGTTTTAAAAGATGTTCTGAAACAGTCCTAAAAAATGCAAACTTACTTCTTTGTTACCACAAAAGTCTTCCATAGGCTTGATATAAAATTGACCTCTTTAATTTACTGATCTGTTTAATATTGTTGCTTTCTGGCATGTTTCAAGGTAACTTGAAAAACTTTAAATTTTTTTCAAATCTTTGTATGGTAATTTGTTTTGTTTTAAAGTAACTCTAAATGATGGAGTCTTCCATCAGTCATTAAACTTGCCAGTTGATCACAGCTATGAAGTAGCAATAGTGATATTCCAACCACATGGATGTATCAGATGTTTATCAAAGCTGGTTGTAGTTTGTGTTCTATGTTCCGTGCTGTGTGGAAGCAACTTACTCTTTAGGCAGATGCTGTCTCCAGTATAAATGTAGAGACAGAAAGATGCGCAGTTTTATTTTTGGTCATGCAAGTAGCAATGATGCTTGTGATGAGTGGAACGGAGGTGTTGGGCCCCTAAGCTTGCATATCAGTCCATGTTCAGCTTTTTTAGTACCTCACGCATTTTAGAGCCTAATTCTGTTGCTAGAAAGATGCTTTATATTTTCTCTCTTTAAATATAAGGACATAGATGTAAGCATTACTTGTGTAACTGTGTGTCTGTCTGGAGTTTATGCTCATTAGTGTGATTAAAATGCTAACGCTTCTTCTGTGTAGGCAAGGCTGTGAATTGAAACAGCAAATAAGTTCAGATAAGCACTCTGTAGGTCATCTTTAAACATCACTGTACTTCTCAGAACCTCACAGGCAGCATAAACGGCTCAGAGTTTAAATAGCTTTGGTTATACGTTTAATTCAAAGAAAAAATACCAAGTTGGAAGTTAGCAGGTTTCTGTGGATAAGGTGTTACTGAAGCTGTCTTGTTTCTGAAGCTGATGTACGATGTTGTAGTAATCTCTGTGTTAATGATGCTGGTGGGACTGTTCACAGATTGGACTACAGTCGGTCTCGGTAATTGGGATTTATCATTTGTAGTAATTTAGAGTTGGCTGTGCTTATAATTTTTTCTGATTTTTAGATTCTGGCCTGCTAAAGATATAGATATACACTAGTAAAAAGAGTTGCTCTGGTTGAGTGTGTTGTAAGGACAGCTTACCCTTGAAGCCAAAACGGTAGCTCGTGCCTTTTTCTGTTGCTTGATATCCTTATATACAGGGACAGTGAACTTCCCATAAAAACTAAGTTTTGTGAAGTAAGTGAGATTCATCCCTACCTACTGTCATCTAAGCACCTGCAGATAATGGCTAGGGTGCTTATGATGGTATAAGGATACGAGCCAGGTAAAGTTTTTGTGGGGAAAGTAGTACCATTTTATTATAATGACTGGCATAATTGGGGGAAATTAAGTTTTGGGAGACGTGATTTTAGGCTAGGGGAATTGTGCTCTGAAGGAGCCACAGGCACTTCAATGACTATGCTTAGACAGTTGTCACCTCTACATCAGCATGTACCTTGTAAGATTTTGTAGTTATTATGTGTAATCCTGTGAAGATGTGAGCTTAATGATTGGTGATCCAGAAGGCAGATATAAAATTAGAAATTACTAAATTATTCACAAGGAATAAAGAATTAAATACTAAACATTATAGCACTGTATAAATCCATAATGTGGGCACTTGCACATTGTATGAAGCTCTCATTTCATCTGAGGAAGTAGTGATGGAAATGTTCATAAATAGTAGTATGCACTAGGAAAAAATGGAAGAGAAAGGGTAATCGTATGTATACAGAATATTCCATAGGAAGAGGTTTATATATAGTAGAACTATTTTCATATTTTTTTCTTCTCTGCCATTTGCAAGATGGAGGGAGAATGATTGAGTTGAGATGAACAGAAAATTACTCCTCGGTGCTTACCTTCATTTCACGTATCCTGGTTCTTAGCCAGACTGCAGGTTCAAACTACAATGTGTGCTCTGTTGCACTATGCTTGATTAGATCCTGGGATGCGATACTTCTGGTGTCTAGAACACCTTGAAGTAAATTGACGCAGAAAATAAGCTAATTCTTGAAAGAAGGGTTTTTCAAGGGCTGTTAAAGGTAATGGTACAAATACAGCCTCGCTTTGAGAAACAGTAGGAGGCTACTTGGTGGGGATGTATAGCAGGGAATACCTCTCACTGCTGAATACTATTTTTGTGTTTTAATATTCTATTTATGAGTATCTATTCCTAGCGATCGCCAGAAAGCACGTTAACTTGGCTCTGCTTGTAGTCTGATCCCATATGGCCTTTTTTAGGTAGAATGGGTAAAGCAGTCGATATTAACTGCAAATAACTGTTAGAGTGTGTGGAATTTGTCCATGTTTCTGTTTTGTGTTTGTGTGAAAGATAAAGGTGTCTGTCTTCAGTAATTAGCGCTTTCCTGGTTATACATCAAATATAGGGGCAGTTCTGTGCCTTTTTTGAAGCTATTTTGTTGCAAGTGTAACGTTCCTGTAAAGTGTCTCCCCTCTGATACAGTGTATTCTCAATGCATTTTTTTTGCAGGCTTTGATGGATTCCAATCTTCCTAGGTTACAATTAGAACTGTATAAAGAGATTAAAAAGGTGAGTTTCATTCTCTAATGTCCTTTCAAAGTATGGTATTTTGGAAATGTAGCATTAGTGTAAATAAATAGCGTATGTCTTAAGATCAAGGTCAGAGCTTCACATTGGAAGGATCTGTGACTGTTTAATGTATTATTCTACCCAGTTCCTCACTATTGGCCCCGTTGTTTAGATTTAACCACTCCTGAAAGCTTATCTGGCAGAAAATATGTGAGCATTTGGTGTGAACAGCAGTGTGAGTTACCCTTAGTGACTCTGCACCCAAATGAATAAGGCATTTTAATGATGTTTGCTCCACTGACTGAGCTGGAAAGAATACCTTCAAGCAAAAGGGTAGTGAAAAGCAGGTGGAGGACAGTGACATTATTAATTTGACATAACTTCTTGGAGGAAGACCTGAAGTGACCTGGCACAGGTTTTAACTGCTTTGTTTTGTGAATGTGTGATATGTACTTGCAGCGTCTATAAGAAGCATAGGTGAAAGTACTGAAGCATCTGTCTTTGTACTACACAGTCACAATTTTATTACGTCCACGGGAAGAATTTTAGTAACAACCTTTTTTAAGTATGTGACTACAAAAGGAAAATACTGTATTCAGGACAGTATCACTGAAATCGTGTCTCGCATCTATAAACATAACACCTATATTTTCTCTCTATACAAGCCTTGCTATTTGTCAGACAGTAAAGCTATTGCTCTTTATTGTATTTCTTTGGGGATGATAGAACTCTAGAAAATAAAATAAATAACAAAAGCAATGTGAAGAGCTTTCCTTCTGTCAAATGTGGACTACTTGTAGACCTTGTATGAATATCTTACTGTATAGTTGTACCTTAATGTCAGGCAAAATTTTTGAGGGTATAGAAATGGATGTCTAACTAATTAACAAAACAGACAACAAAACCAAAAATCACTCTGAAGTTCCTGCATGTTATGACCAGGTGCAGGAGGAAATACTTTGTCATTCAGGTAGCAAGTGCTTCTTGAATAGTTGCTCTCAGATTCATGGCAGAGGCAAGAGAGAAAGGTAGCAGGCATAACAGAAGCACCCAGCAAACGGAATTTTGTATATCACTTGGATCACTTCAGGAGTCATGCCAGAATCTGTTGTTTGGCTCTGAACTTGAAAAATACACGTCTTGTAATTCAGATGCCAGGTTTTTTTTTACTTGTCATGGTAACAAGATCATGAGCCTTTGATGTACTAGCTAAAGAAAACAAGAAAGAAATAACGATATCTAAACATCTCAGCTCTGTCTTCAGAGGGACTTGATTTGAGAAGCATTTTGATTAGGTTCAAACTATGTTAGGTACACTGTGTCTCCTGGACATCTGTTGAATGCCATAGTTTTCTGTGTTTCTAACAATACCAGTAAGCTTTACTATATCCTTAAATACTGGGTGTAAAGGCATTCTGGCTCAAGTGAGGTGCACAGCTGAAGGTGTCAACATAGACAAATAGATACTAAACTGCAGGATGCAAGCCATTAGGAAGTGATACAGATCAATATGTGGTGGGTTTTTTTAGTGTGCTCAGGAGCTGAACATTGTGTATTTACACATCTCCACTGCTGTCAACCTTATGCTACATTTATATCTCTGCAAGCGTTCCAGTGATTTTTAGACTCGTATCATCAGTGTTTCTTTGTTGGTTGATTACTTTCTCTGTGGTTATTTTAAGCTGATTTCAGCAGAGCAGAGATCTCAGGCATTTCCTTCTCTTTCTTGGTGTTCCTTATTATTCATTTCGGGTCACTTGGAAAATTCCTAACACCAGCTAGAAAAATGAAGGCAGTCATGGAGCTGACTTCACTTCCTCTTGGCTAAAGGAAATCTATGGCTTCCAGACACCTTATATTTTTATCTGTTTAAGCAAAATGGTATAGAACTGTATGCTGTTGTATATTACAGGTATTTTTTAGGAAATGGTTTTGCTTGATGAAATGTAACAATTATGTACTCTGTCTAGAATGGTGCTTCCAGAAGTCTACGTGCTGCACTCTGGAGATTTGCTGAGCTTGCCCATCTAGTTCGGCCTCAAAAGTGCAGGTAAACACATCCTAGTAATGAACTTTCCAGAGACCACTTAACAAAATGTGGATGTTAACAAAATGTTACTATTCTCAAGTTTTAAAGATATAATTGGGAGGTTGGAAGAATTCCTATTACATATTCTCTCTGAAGTAGCTTTATTTAATTAGATGATTTTCTTTTAGCGGAGTTTTCGTTCTGTGCTGTACATGTCTCTGGGGAAAGGGAGGGGAAAACCTTCTGAAGACCACGAGCTGTATTTTTTTTAGGTGTATTCTTCTCTTTAGTTCTGTCTTAATGTCTGCATATCATAGTCAGAAGACTATTGTCTTTCTTCAGCATTCTGTGTAGCTAACAGGTACACGTTTTATGATTTAGTGGTGCCACAGAACTTGCGTACAGTTGTTCTGATCTCAGATTAGTTTTTCTCCTTTGCTGTACTTAGGCCATACTTAGTGAACCTTTTGCCCTGTCTAACACGGATAAGTAAGAGACCTGAAGAATCGGTGCAGGAGACCCTAGCTGCGGCAATACCAAAAATCATGGCAGCGTTTGGCAATTTCGCGAACGACAATGAGATTAAGGTATCTTCTTTTAACCTATTAGCGTTCCATGTTGTGTCTCAAAGCACCATAAGCTATCAGCATTATCAGCCTGATGTTACAGCTGCATGTCTGAATTAAGGCAGAAGCTGGCCTTGCTTGATGTACGTGAAGTAATGCTTTGAATGAATGAAAAATATATTTGCCGACTTCTTAATTCACTTCTGCCTCCTTTTCTTTCTCATAAAAAGTTAAGTAAGATATCTTTGTTTTTAGGTTTTATTGAAGGCTTTCATAGCTAATCTTAAATCCAGTTCCCCTACTATCCGTCGAACAGCAGCAGGATCAGCAGTAAGCATCTGTCAACATTCGCGAAGAATGCAGTATTTTTATGCCTGGTTATTGAATGTACTTTTAGGTAAGATTCAGGAAAAAAAAATATTTGCTTCAAGAGTAAGTAACATGACTTTTTTTTCTGTGTAAGACACTTTTCATATGTGGGAGGTTTTCAGGCACAGCAAGGATACTTAGACTACTGGTTACACTGCTCATGCTTTCTCTATTTTGTGTTAAGTTAGGTGAAGATATGACTAAAGCTATTTATATCTCTGTGTGTGCTGCAGTGCTAATTCAGTAATGTTGAAAAAAAACAGCCGAAGCTAGGGAAGTAAGTAGCCCGCTGGAAAATGAGGAGGTCTGGAGATTCTGGAAGAACTTGCTCAGGAGTCTGTGAAGACTTGCATTGTTCAGCAGCTTGGTTATTAGTGCAGCAGATCTGAGGTGGATCCTCACTGTTCTCTGGGTCAGGAACATATACCTTCTCACCTTTTTTAGAAGTACCATGTACATGCTTTGTTGAAAACCTAACTTAGACCAGAAATTTTTTTTTTTTATTATTATTATTTTAATTTAAAAGCACACAACTTTGCATTGAAGTATTGCTTCCATATTTCTTCAGCTGGGAAGTTTGCATGGTCCTTAGGGTGTTTTGCAACTCATGATGAGATGCTTGTCTGGATTGTAGTGGAAACGTTTCCCTCAGTTTTGTTACCGATGAGGATTTTTTTGCTGTGTAGATGATACTGCAAAAGGAGTGATAAGGAGGACTAACAGATACATGAAGCGTTATCCTGTTAGCTTTGCTTCTTTTAAGAACAGGTGAAAAATTCAAATGCCGCGTAGTGACTTTCCTCACTCTGAGAGACATGAAAATGGTGTACTTCTGTGCACATACTGTTCTTTCCTGCCTCGAAGGTGATGTTTTGTTATGTCCTGGCAATGGTACTGAATTCAGACAGGAGCACTAATAGGAACTCCGTGAATTGATCCTGATTTTTTTTTTTTTCCCCTGCCCAAATAGAAGGTTGTGTTTTCTTACATAACTTATTTTTGTTCTTAGTATGTTTTGAGTTTGACTCTGTGGTTAGCAGGTAGGTACACATAACAAGGTTCCCAATACTTTAGGGAGGAGGCAAAAGTGTAAATGTCATTCATTAGGATAATAACATGTGTGTGTGGGAGGGAATTATGTTTGGCCTTAGTTAAACTGCCAAGCGGAGAGAGGAAGCAAGTGAGGGGAGCAGGAGAGTCTAGATCACTTGGTGAAAGCATCAGGTATTACAAAAAGGATAACTTTTTCCTTTTTATTGAACGAAAAGAGGAACAGGGAGGTGAGACAGTGTCCTCTGTCCATTCTCCCATTTTGCGTAAATCATTGTCAGGAATATTAAATAATGCATATTTTCAAGTGTTTCTGCATTTAGAAAGCATTCTTCAGTTGCTGCTATGTTTTATGTTTGTGTTGTGGTTTTTTTTTCCAAAAGAAGCTATTTATATGGACTACATGAAATAACATTTGTGTTGAAGCTAACCACTGTCAATAAATGATTTGGCTTCTTCTTGTCTTCCTCCAGGTTTGTTGGTTCCTGTAGATGATGATCATCCTACTCTTTTAATTCTGGGTGTTTTACTTACACTAAGATATCTCATACCTTTATTGCAACAACAAGTAAAAGATACCAGTCTGAAAGGCAGTTTTGGTGTGACAAGAAAAGAAACAGAGATTTCACCTTCACCGGAACAACTTGTACAGGTAAAATATGATTAATAACCCGAACCTGAAGTGTACTAATTGGAAGGAAAAGAAATAAATCTTGCATATAGTATGATGCAGCACTAGTTTGATGTTGAACATCCTGAATTCTTTTCTCAAATTCCTGTTCATCTTGGTAAATGATAGTTGGTCCGGTGACTGGAGTTACTGATGAATAATACTAATGACCAGAAATCTCAGAAAAATGCATCAACAGTACTTGTTAGGTGTTCCCAAAGGAGCTAAAGAACTTCATAATCATTATGATGTTCTTTGCTGTGATTCCTCCTGCTATAACAATAAACAGAAACAACAGACTTCTACCAAGAAGGCAGTTGGATGGCTACAGTCAGCTGATATTTTTTCCCTTGGAAGAGGATGGTGAATATTAAATATAGCGTAGGTCAGTCACTTAATACACCACTGAAATTTAATGTGGTATGTGAGAAGAAATGTTGTATCTTCATAGAGACTTACTCCAGTACTTTGTTGGGTTTTAGGTTTACGAATTGACTCTGCATTACACCCAGCATCAGGACCATAATGTTGTGACTGGAGCTTTGGAATTGTTACAACAGCTCTTTAGAACGCCACCACCTGAACTTCTCCATGCTCTGACCGCTTCAGGGGGCATTGCACAGGTCAGTGTATCCAAAGATGAACCTGCCAGCAGGAACCGCAGTGGGAGCATAGTGGAACTTATAGGTAAGTTACATTTTTGGTAATTCAAGTAAAAGGAGATGAACGTACATCACCATCTCTATTTCTCAGTGTTTGCCAAAAGTATGAAGGATAAAATGAAATGTATGTTATGCATGACTCTTTTTTTTTTTTTTTTTTCCCCCCAGGTACTGTAAAAGATTTTTTCCCCTTCTTTTTAAATGGGTATACATTCATTGAGTAATGACAAACTGAAGTATTTTTTACAGTTTCTGTTGATGCGCTTTTTTTAGTTACACAGAGCAAGTTAACTGTGGTGACAGATCTTTTATTCCCCACAAAATTAATGTTCTCACCAAGCATCTGACAACTGTGATTCATAAAAAGCTGATCTAATCAGAATTTATATTAACTGAGAGCTCCTTGCTGAATACCAAAACCAGCATGAAATTAAAGCATGACTGAAGTTTATCCATGACTTTCAAAATCCGCTGTCGATGTTCTTCTATGTAAAATGCATGTTCTTAAAATTCTTTTAACTGCTACTTACCTGTTTCGAAAGAATCAATCTCTGATTGGATTTCTGTAAGGACTTTTGTATTGAACTAACAGATCATTCTAATGTTGCTGCTATTTGAAGGTAATTCGTTAGCCAGAAGCAATCATAGCAGTGAAATTTAGAGCATGTTTTTTAAAAGCAAACTTACAAGTGACATAGAAGAATAAAAAGTTATTTGATGACAAATGATTCAAAACACTTGGACTTCAAAAGCAACAAGTTTGCTGTTTCTTCCTGGCTTTGGTTGTTTTGGTGGTGTTTCTTTTTCCTTTCTCATTTGTGGCTATTAGAATTCCTTCATGATTTCAGCAGTTCTGTCTTTGCCCTGATGTATTACTTTCTGTGATTTGCAGCTGGAGGGGGGTCTTCATGCAGCCCTGTTCTTGCGAGAAAGCATAAAGGTGATTATTTTCAAAACCAAATCTTTAATTGCATTCCTTCCTGAGTTTTTTTATTCCCCCTCCTCACTTCATTGTCTTGCTGAACTTCAGTCTTCATTCACAATTGCCTTCGTGTTATCAGCTGAGCTTAATCACTATAAATCTTAAAAGAATTCTGAGGCCATTTCTGAATTGCAGTCAAGATACTCTAAAATTATTCAAAGCAGTATAATTTTCTTTTGCTGTAGTTCACTGGCAAATTTATTGTGATGAATATTGATGCAATTTTCACTTTAAAAGGCCACATTTAAAAGTAATCTCTCTGAACAGGGCATTCTTCCTTTTGATGATAGTACTTAACTTTTAATGTAACTTACAAAATAATTAACCTTCCTGGTTTTGTTAGACCTATTTTTTCTGTTCTTTTACTTATGCATGTGTATGTTTGCATGCTTTGATATAATGCTTTTTTCTGTTCTTGATGATTAAAGCCATTCATTTTATGTCTTGCTGTGTATATTTTCTTTCCTTTCTTCAATAGGTAGTTCATTTAGCAGGATTTTAAAAAATATAATTTGCTCTGAAGTATTTTTTTCCCAGTTTGTGCATTAAAGTACTTCATATCTAGTTACGCGTTTAAGCTTTGCTGAAAACCAGTCATGTCAGTATGAGAATCACTCTAGATACAGCTGTGTGACGGTTTTGTCTGTTCTAGGTGAGCAAAATGTTCCTACTGCAGTGGAACTGTGTATGAGTGTATTGCAGTGCAAGTGTAGTAAGCTGAGATGTGCAATACTGAAAAGAAAAACTTCAAGAAAAAAATAGTTTAAGACCAAATAAGATCACACAAACTTTAAAGACCATTATAGCAACTAGCTTACACTTTTTCCATATATGTCCTCCCATCTTTTTGTGCAAGGGACCTCATAATGCTTAAAGATTATACCTATATGCTTGAAGAATATATGTAAAAGTGAAGTAGTAGGTGGAGCTGAATGGAATAGTGCTTATAGATGCAGAG